AGTTGACAGAACAAATGGGAAACATTACATATCTCCCTGTGAGCATATAATTTCAATATGGCATCATTGTATAATCCTTCCAAGTTTTGTCCATTTTCCGACAACTGTAGTGCATTAAGGAGAAGGTAATAAAAAAAATCATGAATTTCTGAAATTTTTGATAAATTTGGCCACTTTTAGTGACGGGGTGAAGTGTCATTCAAGCTACATGTATACCAAGTATCAAAGAATTTGGACTACTGGTTTTGAAGTCGAAAATAGCATTTTTTACCAAAAATAACAAATTACAATGTACACTCATCGAGGCATCCACACACCAAAAATCGAGTCAAGCGGTTCGGGGGTTTTTGAGAAGTCGTGCACAGACAGACGGATAGACGGATGACAGACACGAAACAGAAACCCATCCCATAGGCTCAGCGGACCTACATGTATGGTTCATTGAGCCAAAAATCAGAAGAATTCTGTCTTTCAGTTTGATGTGTATCTGACTCAGGTAAAAAGAAAACTCATGAATTTTAGTGGAGGTACCAACAAGCCATTTCCCTCTCAGTTGGGCACTACGGCTACCATCCGACCCCGAAAAATCACAAAAGAATTCTTCTATTGTCGATTAGAATTACCAAGGCAGGTAGGTAGTATGAGTGAATACAGCATAACAGCGTTAGTCCACGATTTTTTGGAAATTCTGAGTATTTTAATATTTATTCAATATAGAATATATTTTAAAATATTTCATCAATGAGGCATTCAACCGTACTGTATTGCAAACAGTTGCGCATGTGCAATTGAGGTGAAACCAAATAAGCAACATTCCATCTTTTTGTAGAAACCAATATTCACTCAAAGTCTCATGATCAACATCAAAATTTAAACATGATTTACAATGAATTTCTTATTAATTTCTTGTGTCCCTAATAATGTAAGGTTAAAGTAAACAAGAATGTGGAAATCTTGGAAATGGGATAGTGTCCTTGATGTTATCTATACCCAGAATGCATTGCAAGAATCTTTCAAATCCCATACCAAATCCACCATGTGGTACTGATCCATGTTTCCGTAAATCAAGATACCTACAGAGTAAAAACATAATGATTGTGATTACTACTAAATACAGGGTAGAGATTAGAAAATAACAAATCAGGATAAAAAATAAACTACATGGTAGAGGGAAATGATGAAAAGGGAAACATATTTTTTATTTTGTACTAGGCAACAGTAAAAAACAGTGTTGACATTTTACTGATGAAACCATAGTACATATTAATTAAATTAGTGTTGATTGTTGAGGGAGCAGGGAAGAGTAACAGAAGGGGATAATGAAAAACAAATTATTGCACGAGTTTTAAGTTTGAAAACAGCATTCACTAAAACAAATTGGTCATTTTGAGTCAGATATAACAAACAATGTGACGTGCTTTAAGATCCCATGAGGATCAATGTAGATACTAAGTTTGAACAAAATCTGTCCAGGCATGACCAAAATCAAGACCCAGAATTGCAGAAATGCTCGATTTTAATGAATTTTTAACATTAAAAAACCAGCAATTCTTGTACATGTGCAATGTATATATAAAGTTTGATTTGTGAGGACATGTTGGAGATACAGCTCCAATACTGCATTTGTTAAAACAAAATGACCACCAGTCAGCCATTTTGAATCTGAACTGAGAAACAAAATAAAGTGCATCAAGGTCCCATAATGTATCGAGATCTGGCTTTGGAATGGTAGAAATGCTGGATTTTGATGAACATTTAGCACAAACATGAAGTGAATCAAACCAGACACACAGATGCTTGTATAGAGGTCAAAACATAAGTTTCTTTTCAGAACTGCATCTGACAAGAGACTAGCAAAAACATTTATAACATTTAATGTTGAGGCAATAAAAAGAAAAAAAATTTGTAATACTCAGCATTGAGGGAGCTCTACAGGAATGAGTGACAGGAGATATAAAAAAAGAATTTCTAATACCTAGCATTGAGGGAGCTCTACAGGAATGAGTGACAGGAGATATAAAAAAAGAATTTCTAATACCTAGCATTGAGGGAGTTCTACAGGATTAAAAGAATAGAATTTCTAATACCTAGCATTGAGGGAGTTCTACAGGATTAAAAGAGTAGAATTTCTAATCCTTGGGGGCAGAGCTACGTCACAAGCCGTTCTACGTTGCTAAGACGCGCACCACTGAACCACGTATTTCTATGGGCTCTGTGCGCTGCTGAGGAATGCGAAATGCCGAGCAAAGAGCCGATGAAAATTCAAGAAAACAACAGGAACTCAAATTTGAAGTAATCCTGAACAATCAAATTTATATGCATTACACACGCAGGGTTAATCTTGTTACACCACTGTTCAGGGGAGTCTCAACAACCGTCCCAAAGTACCGTTTTCTTAGAGTTTTTTTGTTTTTCACCAAGATGGTTGCCATCCGGTGAAAATGCCCGGTTGTCCGACCCCCGAAAATACCCAGCTTTGCAGGAGCTCTATAGGAATCAGGTGAAGGGATAAATGTGTGTATCGCTGTTCAATACTTTGTTGGGTTCTATATAGTAATCTGAATCATTTCACCAAATTTGATTTAATGTATTTTAACAAGTCATTGAAAATGACACGGTCCCTGTTAAATTTTTGAAAGTTCTCTTTGTGCTCGTTATATTAAAGCGGAGGATTGTCGCAAGCTTGTCCTTGAAACTTGAGTTCCAAGTGGCATATACAACAGATTGTTTATTTACATCAAAACACATGTTCCGTGTAGTAGTAATTTGGCCAAAAATAAAAACAGCCGTTATTCGCCCATCTTTGATCTGATTATGAAACACACCGATATGTATGATGTATGTGCCAATGCCAATACCAATGAAAATGGTACATAAATTGTGGAAATATAGTAGTAAGGCCAAAAAGTCAGATGGCTGCCAATCGACCCTCCTTGACCAGATTTTGAAACAAATTGTCATGGACATGCATCCTAACATGGATAAAGTACATGTATGTGCCAAATTTGAATGAAAACTGACAGAGCACGTTCAAGTTACTGCATAAAAACAAACAAACAAGATGCCTGCCAGTCTACCATCTTTGATCCAATTGCGAAATAAATCGTCATGGACATGTATCCTAACATGTATAATCTATGTACCAAGTTTGAATGGAAACTGACAAAGCATGTCCAAAATACAACATTTTCAAAAAACAAGATGGCTGCCAGTCGGCCATTTTGAATCGAATCGCTAAACCACTGCATGTGCATATGTTCCACATAAAGTACTAGGCACATGCAAAGAATGAACGGAATCGGTCCAAGGGATTCTGAGATACATGTATGACTCCGGACGGACACACGAACGCACAGACGCACGGACGGACGGAGACCGAATAATAAGTCCCCGTTTTCGGACTTCGTCCGAACGGGGATTAAAAACTACTGGGATACTCCAAAATTATTTATCTTATAAAAAGCAAATTTCCATTCAAACTGATGATAACAATGATAACTGTTGAGTAAATTATTATGTGATCTTCATATAGAAAAGATACAGTGCCCAATATTGATTCACAATAAAATACCATTCATACTCTGAAGCCTGTCCTAGTCTTGTTAAATTATTCTGTAAAACATTTAGTCTTTCTGCCTTAGCATCAAATATTTATTTAGAATAACTTACCATTCATATTCTGAAGCCTGTCCTTGTGTTGTTAAATTATTCTGTAAAACATCTAGTCTTTCTTCTCTAAGACTTCCACCAAACAACTCACCAATCACAGGCATTAGTAAATCAACAGCTGCTACCTGAAATTAATAAGATGATGTAGGCTTAGTCTTTTCCACAAAACGGAACAAAACAAAATCCTAACCTTAAATTTTGAATGACAAACATCGCTACGTCATAGAAATAAATTTGTCGAGAATATTTAGTTTCCACCTCGTTTCCGCCTACTTTGCAGCTTGATTCATTTGTGCTGACATGACGTGACAGCCATTTGGAATTGTTGAACACTGATGGCACTATTCATTTTGTGTTTCTCAGATATTATTACGCCAATGAAAAAAAATGCGGGTTAGGGTTAGGGTTGGGGTTTCGTTTTGTTTTGTTTTGTGGAAAAGACTATGCCGATGATGTAATCTGCCCGCAGGTAAACTGTATACACTGTCATTCAATTTACAAGACAACATTTCACAAGTCAAAAAAAGGTAGCAACGAAAATGTCACTGGGGTTCTTAAATCACAGATCTGAAGCACTTGTGAAATTCAAGAAATTCCCTGCTCATACAAAAGCTTTGTGTTAATACATTTGAATCTAACATGTGAACTGAGTGGATTGGACTTGCATTCTGTATGCTGGTTCACTTTTAAATTTTGAACTCATCAAGGTTGTTGAAACAGTTAATGTTTAGGCTGGAAGTACACGTAGTGTTAGTGCTGTAATGTCATCTAAATTGCTTAATATTCAGAATGGTATTTTTAAGAATCATTAATACAAGCAGACAAAGGTGGTAGACAACTCATACAATATTTGGAAAATATTTTGTTTATGTGATTATAGAACAATAGACCTTAGAAAACAGGTCCATGATAGAACAAGTCATTGTCAATAACACAGTCCCTGTGATGTAATTGCTAAACTATTATAACATGCTAAATTACTGTATGTGAATGTATTGAAAACTGTAGAAAATGGAGGTAGAGGTGTATTGAAAGTTTAAAATGGTTTTTAATAATTTTTGTATTTGCACTGATGATATATTTTCTGATCACTTACACTACAGTAAAAATTAATTCCCCATTGGAAACTACAATTAGACATTATTATAGGTTGAATAATAACCTGCACCATTCAGACAGAAATTAGAATGAAAACTTGAAAAACAAAATGGCAATCAGTCGGCCATTGTGAATCATATCACGAAAAAAGATTACATGGTTCAGAAATGTCTAGTTGACAACATGTTGAAATGGAACAGAAATAATTGCCAGATTGTCAAATGTCATCAAAACAAAAAGAACAAATTGATATGCATATGTATATATATACCATTATTTAGATTGATAAAACACAAAACAAAATGAAAACAAGTCATTGAAAATGACACAGTCCCCATTAAATTTTTGAAAGTTCTCTTTGTGCTCGTCATATTAAAGTGGAAGGGTTGTCGTCTTGAAACTTGAGTCCCAATTGGCGTATACAACAGATTGTTTATTTACATCAAATTCAAACATGTGTTGCATGACAACCCCTCTGGTTTAAGACATAGCAAAGAAAAACATAGATCAAAGGTGAAAGCATGTCCAAGTTATCGCATTTTAAACAAACACGATGGCTGCCAGTCGGCCATATTTGATCAAATTGCAAATTTAAATGTACATTTATCCATTTATGACATGCTAAATATCAATGAAAATGATACATGGGTGACAGAGATATAGTAATATGGCCAAAAATAAAAACAGCCGTTATTCAGCCATCTTTGATCTGATTATAAAACAAAGTGACATGTATGATGTATGTGCCAAATACAAATGAAAATGGTACATAAATCTTGGAAATATAGTAGTAAGGCCAAAAAGTCAGATGGCTGTCAATCGGCCATCCTTGATCCAATTTTGAAACAAATTGTCATGGACATGTATCATAACATGTATAAAGTATATGCCAAATTTGAATGAAAACTGACAAAGCATGTCCAAGATACCACATTTAAAAAAAAAAACAAGATGCCTGATAGTCAGCAATCTTTGATCCAATTACAAAAGAAATTGTCATGGACATGTATCCTAACATGTATAATCTATGTACCAAATTTGAATGAAAACTGACAAAGCATGTCCAAAATATAACATTTTCAATCAAAGAAAGCTTAGAAAGAACTCCTGTGTGCTGAGAGTATTGAAGACACATTAAAAATTAATTCAAAATTACTTGTACCTGAGATATTGATGGAAAAGCTGAAAACTAATTATGTAAATCAGGTAACTAATATGAACAGATTTGAGTGTAAAACTAATAAGGCCTGCGTAATGTAATATCTATGTACCAAGTTTTATTGAAATGTGATTAGAACAAAAAAACTATGAATTATTATTAGAGAATTAATATGAACAAATTTTAACCCAAAATTAATCTATTGTTCTAGAGCATTTATGTACCCCATTTTATTCAAATGTGATGATCAGTAATTGAGATATCAGTGTTAATTATTTATTTTAATTAGGTGATTAATAAGCATAAATATTTACCAAAAACTAATTGGGTCTCTGCATAGTCCTAGGTTCATTGAAATGTGATGATGAATACTCTATAAAAGTTCTTATATATCAGTGGAACATTCATGGACAAAATTAACTAATTATGCGAATTAGGTAATTAATATCCACAATTATTTACCCTAAAACTAATCAGGTCTCTGCATAGCCCTAGAGGATCTATGTAGCAAGTCTCATTGAAATATGATGATCAGTACTTGAGTTATCAGGCTAAAAGCTGAAAATTAACTAATTATGCTAATAAGGTGATTAATATGCACAAATAGTTACCCCAAAACTAATCACGTCTCTGCACAGTCTTTAAGTAATTATGTACCAAGTTTCATTGAAATGTGATGATTACTACTTGAAATATCAAAAGTTGAAAATTAATTAATTATGCAAATTAGGTAATTAATATGTACTGATATTACCCTAAAAACTATCAGGTCTGTGCAGTGTCATTTGACATCTATATACCAAGCTTCATTGAAATGTGATGATTACTAATTGAAATATCAAAAGCTGAAAATTAATTAATTATGCAAATTAGGTAATTAATATGTACTGATATTACCCTAAAAACTATCAGGTCTGTGCAATGTCCTATGACATCTATGTACCAAGTTTTATTGAAATGTAGTGATTACTACTTGAGATATCAGTGGAAAAGCCAAAAATCAAATCTGCGCATTAGTTCAGAGCATCTATGTGCCAAGTTTCATCAAAATCCAATGAGTGGTTCTTTAGATATCAGTGGAACAATCATGGAACAGCTAAAAATCAGCTAATTATCATGCAAATTAGGTAATCAATATGCATGGATTTTTACCAAAACCTGATCAAATCTGTGCATTGGCCCAGCGCATCTAAGCACCAAGTTTCATCAAAAATCAATGTATGGTTCATGAGATATCAGTGAAACAGTCACACACACAGACACACTAACTGCAAAGACTCTCTTTTTGTGCTTCGCACACAGGAGTCAAAAAACAAGATGGCTGCCAGTCGGCTATTTTGAATCGAATTGCTAAACCACTGAATGTGCATATGTCCCACATAAAGTACTAGGCACATGCAAAGAATGAAGAGAATCGGTCTAAAGGATTCTGAAATATGACTCCGGACGGACGCACGGAGACCGAATTATAAGTCCCCGTTTTCGGACTTCGTCCGAACAGGGACTAATAAACATCAGGGGAATTCATTGGTCATGATGGTTACTTACTGTGTTTGGGCTATCTTGATTGTCTCTTGCATAGAATGGTTTGAGGCATGCTGGGTAATCTGTAACAAATACTGGCACATTGTTGAAATACTTGACGAGGTATTTTTCATGTTCACTTTGAAGATCACAACCCCACTACAACAAAGAAGAATTTTTAGAATTTAAAATAAAAAGTTGTTTGTTTCTTTTTTAATTAAATTAGTAACTATAGTTTGTGTTGAGCGTTATTGGCCCCAACCAGACGTGCGGTTTTCAAGTAGAAATAAAAAACAACACTTTCTACCAAAATTTCAAAATTCAAGAAGTAAACAATGTTGAAAAAAAGTCACCATTAGCCCACTCTAGAAACACTCACCTATTCACACAGACCAATATGCAGAAAACATAAACTGATGGCAGCTTTCATGTGACAAGTAAAAAAAACCGACTGATTTGTGAAGGATCAAATAGAATATCAATTATTATAAAAGTTTTAATTTACCTGAGTTGGAAACTCAAAACCTTTCTTTTTTTGAAGGATATTTATTGCATCTGAGTATGTAATCCTGTGAGAAAAATAAAGTGGTCCTGTAACTCACTGACAAATGAATGCGCATCACGAATGTTCACCATGAATGTCAACCAACATTTTGATATATCTAAGTTTTCCATGTTTAGACACCATATTTCATGGATTATGTAATAATAGTGGTAGAATAGCACTTCTACTGAAGCCAAAATAAAGATATATTGGTAGAGAATGTTTGCCATAGTATGTGTAATATACACTACCGCTAACAGTTCTGTTCAGTCACAGTCAGATAAACTTTAATAAAGGAATAGTTTGCATCATATGTTCATCATTTAATAGGAAAGACCCTATTGACTAGTTCCTTTGTATTCAAAAATGTTTGTTTACTAGAAAACAACTGTTTTTCAGAAAAAGGTTGTTTAATAATGGTACATTTTTAAGCAGCAACATCGTGGAATTGAACTAATAATTTCTAGATTGACAAGTTGTCTGAATGCATGCTCACTCTAGTGAATGAGCTAAGCAGGTGATTTTATAAATATTCTCACATTAAATTCAAATTTTCACTGAACATCACAAGTTACCAGTAGAGGGATAATATATGTCTTGGTTACTCGCATACTGAATTGTGCTCAATATGCTGTTTCTTAAACAATTTCCTAATAATGTGAATACTTCAAAAATTGTCTCACTATGGATTCATTAATCACACCATAGAATCTGGATGTAGAAGCTTATTTTTGCATGTTTTGGCAATGTCAGATAATGGGGATTTATCTTCATTAGAATTGTAACTAAATTATTATATGCTGGTTGGTCTCTTATACTGTTTGTTATATAATATCTTACCTTTTGTATGTTTTATCAAGAATTTTCTTCAATAAATCCTGGAAAAAAGAATATTTGAAATTTAGAAATGACCACGTATTCGTTAACAAAACAATGGCAAATATATGCAATAAAAATTACCATATTTTCTCTATTTGAAGCACATAAACACCAAAAATTGCATTGGTTATATACTAAATCATTTAAATATTCTTTTGATCAGAGAAACACCTCTGTAATTTTTGTAAGTGCTTGTGTTACAAATAGAGGAAATATGGTAAACAGATTTGAATGAAAGAACAGGTGTTAACTGTACAATATTACATATTCTATTTTGTTCTATACTATACTATTCTATTTTATTCTATCCTATTCTATTCTATTCAATTGCCCATACAAATTTTTCATTACAATGCCACATTTTATAACTTAGGAAAAATCACGTAGTAGATTTTACGGTATCTTATGTCTAAATTGGCATTTAACTATTACTGTACAATGAGTTTCCAACAAAATATAGTGACAAATTTTATAGAATTCCTAGCATCAATAGAAATACTGTTTTCTAAAATAACTAGTATTATAATAATAATGATACATACCTTGTGGTTTGATGCTGCTACGTGTTTATGAAACAGCTCCACCTCATGAGGGCACTGTTCAATAATTCTATTTGTGACACATTTCACACAACCTTCCATTATCTATAAAAAAGACAATTTCCTTATCGCTTTTTTTATACTTTTATATTTTTGCTATCTGCTGCTTTAGTCCATAAAAAGTTTTTTTTGTCAAAGTGCGTCATCAAGGGTAGTTACAATCTGTTACTGATTCAGGGACTATACTGTGTACAACAAAAAATTGACAGCTCGGTATTCAGAAATTCACACTTTCCCTTTTCCATCAGAAGAGTTGCTTCCCTGTGATGGGTATTGAGTTTTTGTAAATGAATCATGGGTAAATCACCCAGATAAGGATAACATGTCTAGCAGCTAGGGTATTTCTTCTGTCTTAATGGTCAATCAAGGTGAGCAGTGTTCCTCTAAGCCTCTAAGTGATTCAGATGCTTTCTGGATATTAGCCATTTGCTATTTTTCTTCTTCAAAAAGTCTTAAATTTTGCTCAATAATTTCAGAGAAAGAGTGTAGTAGCCTACTAAGGGATCTCGCCACACTGGTCGGCCCCGACCGGTACTCAAAATTAGCGACCACCACTGAAATGTTTCCGATTGTTATTATAATTATGTACCGACCGACACGCATCCTGCCAGTCGTGGATTATAATTTGTAAACAATAGACCTAGTCGCACGATACGTAGCGGCTAGTCAATTTTGTGAAATTAGCACCTCTTTGTTTGTAAGTAAATACTTTCTGTGATAGACACAGTCTTTAGATTGAAAGCTAAAATTCTTTCATAATCAATTTCACCTCGGTGTAACATGGTCAAAGCGGAGTTCACGATCAGTTTACGCTACTCAAGAAAAAAATCAACGTGTTTATTCCGTGATTTGGTAAAATACATTTGAACTGTTATCATCGCGATTCATGTAAAAACTTTTATTTTAGAGCTATTTTACCTTTTAAAAATTGCTAATCACCTCTTTCGATAACCATCACGCAGTTTTCAACTGAAATCGAGGTCAACACATCATGCTACAGCATGGCTTTACTTCCGCAATGTAATTTTTATGATCACTACCATTCGGAAAACTTCGGATTCTACCAGCATTACCATGCAGCATTCTGATAGGTTAATGGAATTATTGACCCATCGGGTCAAAGAATACATGCTGGTCAACTAAACATCATGGCGGGCTGTGTTTTTTACCAAAGCAATCGAGTGATCAAAAATATCCACTCCCGATGAAACTAAGTCAAATTTTACATTTATTTCATATCAAAAAAACAAAGTAACATTCTTTGCTTGGCATCATGACTGAGTTAGAGGAATTATTGGTATAATCGGTGTATAACATCGTGAAGTAAGTTATGTCACATCGTAACTTTGAAAGTTCAGAAGTTTCATTTGTTCGTTCGTTCATTACTGTGAATATATACGTTTTTGAATTTGATGGTACAAATAATAAATTACAACAATACTCCAAATAATTCCGTGGTCGTTTTTTGAAGGAGAATGTATTTGGAGTAAATAATACCGTGAACATATTCCTGGCTGAAACGTTTCAAATGCGTTTTATTTAACTTTTTACATTAGACTTTAATATTGCAACAATAATTTATTTGTTTCTGTTTTTTAGTCTGCAGCATTTGCATTTCGAATATATTTAATTTTTAAATTCAAACTCTTCTAAATTGTGAAACATAATGTCTAATTCCAAAAATATTTGCACTGCAACCAAACTCATTAATATTCATTGCTAATTAATATTCATATAGCTCATTAATATTCATGATCGACCGGCACTCACGTTGGGCTGGCGAGATCCCTGCCTGAAATTTACATCAAAAATAAAACATTTAGAAATGTCCAATGACACTACATGTAGCTATCATTTTGGAAAAAAAAATATCCTAAGCTAATGTTGAGATACCTGAATTTCTGAGTCTCACATGTGCACAACTACATGCGTATGTGACTTCACCATGTATAAAATCTATCCACAATGTTTTACATTTACAAAATTTATTTTTTAATTTGACTTTCTTAGAAAATTGAAAAGTTCTCAATGGCAACTGTTAAAGAACACAGTTGAGTTAGTGAAATAGACCAAATTATAGACAACTAGGCTTCATTGCCGGGGTGATGTATTATTCAAATAACAATATTCATTACCTGCATTATATCTTCAAGGCTTTGTGTGAACGCTACTTCTGCTTCAACCATATAAAACTCTGCCAAATGTTTACGTGTTTGTGAATTCTCAGCTCTAAATGTTGGCCCAAATGTATACACTTTAGATAAACCACTGTAGAAACATAGTTACAATGTTAACAATCAATCAACCGTACATTTCAAGATATGTTTCAAATTTTGATTTTGACGCACACAATACAATACTTTTACCCCTCCCTTCAAATCAAATGACTTGTGTTTCTTGTGTGTCAGTTTTGATGACCAACGCCCCCCCCCCCAATCCCAACAAAAGTTAAGTTGGTGTGGAAAGAGTATACACATGTAGAGATGCTGGCCTTGTTACATTGTCATGACCTACCTTGCCATAGCCTCTAGCTGTAACTGCCCAGATACAGTCAAATACACAGGTACATCAAAAAAATGCTTACATTCTTCAGATTCTGAACTTTCATCAACTTGCTTCTCTGGCTTTGAAGAAGAAAATATTCATCTGTTATAAAACATTTTTTCCATTTATTAATCATTTCAGTCTTCCTCATCCAAAACTTTAATCTTGTTGAAGGGTGTATCATCAATAAATACAATTACATTTGCAAATCAAATGAGATGCTGAATTGTTCGAACCACAAACATTTAGTTACGAAAACATCCAGTTACAAAAATGACTACGCCCATATTTCAAAAACCATACTTTTGCAAAATCTCTCCTAAATTGTAACTCGATGTTTAGTTAACAGTTAACAGAACTTTGAGTTACGGGCAACCTATATTTGTTGTTGTTGAATGTCCACATTTAGTAACTTGAACTTTAATTAACAATTAACCGAACTTTGGGTTACGGGCATCATAGAATTTTTGTTTTGTTTAACGTTGTATCTCATATTTCGAAGTTTGGTTACCTGATAATTAAAGTTTTAGTTACTAAATTTCACATCAAACTAATCAAAACAAAAATAAGAATGACTAATCACAAGAATTCCAGCTGTATTACGCTGACTGAGTATGTGCAGCTCTCAACGACAATTAACATGGATTGGCAACAGAACATATTTGTGTGTTTTTTAATTTTGTCTTTTTTTTTGGTGGAAATCCAGAAATTACAAACAATATGCAGTTCTATGGCTCTACAGTATATTGTAAATATAATAACAACACATGTTGGACATTACCTCTATTTTGAAAAGTTCTCCAGCGCCTTCACAATCATTGGATGTTATAATGGGTGTATTTATATGAATGAAACTGTTGTCTTGAAAGTATGAATGTATCAGCATAGTTGCGGCATTCCTCACTCTCAGCAACGAACCAAATGCATTGGTACGACATCTTAGATGTGGGTACTGTCTGAGATATTCAAATGAATGCCTGGTTTTAACTTTAATTGGATAAACCTGAAAAGGATATAATGATACAACATATTCCGACGTACTTCATAGTAATGTCAAAGTTCATGTATTGAAAAAAAAGAAAAGTGTTACATAATAAACTTTTGGGCTATTTTACCCAATATGAAAGATTTTGTTGGAGAAAAACATGTAAAAATGGGCCTCTTTGGAGCTACAATGTATTTCTATGGGAATTAATGCTAAAGCAATATCTCATATAAAAAGATATTTAGGGCAATAAGGTGTACCATCTTATATAATTTTTTTCACCACAGGTATCTGAATAAAATTTTGAAATATGACAAAACTAATGGTAAACCAGTGCTAAATGGCCCCCAAATTTTCTTGGCTCTTACACATTTTTTTATGTGAAAAGTAATTCAATGACCATACTCCTTGACGTCATAGTATGTAGTCAAAATTTCTATACAGTGATGTACTAAGAGGTGTGCTCAAATTGTTTATCAGAAAAACAAAAGGTATTTTGCTGGGGGGATCAAAGGGCTATTTTGTCCAGGTGCTGAGAATAAACAATCATTATATGTTATAATGGGTGTATTTATATGAATGAAACTGTTGTCTTGAAAGTATGAATGTATCAGCATAGTTGCGGCATTCCTCACTCTCAGCAACGAACCAAATGCATTGATACGACATCTTAGATGTGGGTACTGTTTGAGATTTCAAATGAATGCCTGGTTTTAGCTTTAATTGGCTAAATTGTAGTTGAAGAAAATTATGTTTCTTTTGCATTTTTATTCAGTCAAAAATATCCTATTATGTACAGGGTATGGGAGAACGGGAGAGAGGAGTGTGTGATCCATAATACAATCATTTTTTAGCAAACTCTACCAATTTGAGAACATTTTTAATACAATGTATGTATTAATAAGATATTATGATAAACCTTTACCTCACTGTCACATGTACCAATCATATTTATATCAGTAGCATGCATCTCAACTGATTGACCTTTATGAGAGCTTTGTAACAACTGCCCTCTAACTTCAACTGAACTTCCATATGTCAAATCACTGAATAAACAGAAAAGAGATTTTTATTTTAATTATTGTTACACATACATGTACAACCACATTGCATTGAATGGCGTAAAGAGAGGTTATTAATATTACATGTGTTTGGATATTTGTAATCGAGCGTGGTCTCTGCAATCTGAAGAAGTAGTCACTGGTAGCATAGTGATTTGCATCAGATGATGTTGAGGTCGAATTCATTGGCTGAGTATATTGTATCTTGACAGGACATCAATTTTCTGAATTACCTTGTGATACTCATTTGTAGGATGAGCCATATTACAGTGATTAAATTTGTGCAGACATTTCACTGTCTGAGGCTACAGACATTGATACTTTTCACTTTCTTGCTATTGAAGTTGTATCTGATATATTTTGTTTGTAGCATTTGACGTACAATGTAGTATGAAGCACCGAATACTAAATGCAACAACTACAGTATTCGCAAGCTATCTGGTTGTGAAATTGTTTTCCAAACATTACCAAGCATCAGATTTCAGCTGAGATCAAGGTTTCAGCATCTGTAGGTATCAGGAAATATGTCAAATTGCATGTGGAACTTGCATCTTTAATTCATTCTTTTTAGTTTTTTAAAATTTGCTGTGAAGCAATTAGCGTGATTTGTTTGAGGAACACTATCCATTTATATTTTCTCTTCCAGTTCGTTTTAACTTTTATGCATGTTATATATGAGGTAAATATCAAAAGATATGATTTATGATAAGTTTGCATACTTTACCTGGAAATGACATTTGATGGAAGTATAACTTGTAAAGTTTGCAAACAGGATCCATCTCTGATGTCTATAAATGTTATATCTTTATGTGATCTCAAAGACTGTATCCAACCCTAGTGACAAACATACCATGATACAACTACAATGCACTGTTGATCCAGTAGAACAAACTAGGTTTGAATTTTGTGTAAACTAAGATTCCAATATTGCTCGTCTGTCCTCTGCCTGGTCTTTACCTACAACATGCATGCTATGCACCATATGCTGTTCAAAACATGAACATTGTGTATGACCGGGACTCATGGTGCAATGCTTTTACTATCACAAAACAACTCTTAACTTTGACCAAACATGACACAACATTTTGAAAACTGTTTGAATTTAATACCTTGCCTGTGGCTTTTAGCAGATCTTTAAAAACTGTCCAATATCATATGTAATCATTCATTGTGCGAGCACTCCCTACAAACATATGCATATGCACTGCTTTATTCTGGCTTTCTTTTAGATAACACCTTCAGAACCAATGATGTAAAATACTGTAAATGTATTAATTATTCTCTGGATTTTAATTACGCTATTTTTGCTAATAAGATAGAAATCATTGTTTTCTCGACAAATTTGTGAAATTAAAACACAGTGAATATGCTGAAAATATTAAAATAGTGAAATTAAATGTCAGTGAAAATAAATGATTGTACAGTTTATTGCTACTGTTAAAATAATCTTTCCTGTGAAAATAATATAATGCTCTTAACCTTTTAGGGTTGCATACAATGTATAACTTCATAAGGAATGAACTACTAGATTTTGGGAGGGGTGCTCAAAACTCAAAAAATAATATGATATGTGAAAATCGAAGAAAGCTTAGAAAGAACTCCCGTGTGGTGCAAGTATTGAAGGCATATTTAAAATGTATTCAAAGTTTAAAATTTGGTGTTGCACATTTGTGTTACACAAGTTTATGGGAGGCACCATAGCTCTTCCTCATATCTGAAAATAACAAATTTAATAACACAAAACATATCAGAAATGACTAAAATGCCATCATAAAAACTAAAGACTAACACAAGAAGACCTATGGACCCACATCTACAAATCAAAAAACATTTAAGTCTACTTGATGTGAACAAAAAAGGCAGGACTCCAGAAGGAGTACCTACACTTTATGCAATTTTTTTTTAAATTATGCTAATTTATTCATGACATAGCAGTTTCTGTGCTCATGAATATTCATTAATTTGTGGATCAATACATTCTAAAAGAGGCGATATATTATTTTTGGGGGAAGAGTTAGAAAGGGGAATTAGCAATCCTTAGGGGGTCAATACAAAAGAAGGGACCCATTTGGAGAGCAGCATTGATCCTCGTGGCTGTTGTTGCACGTGACCTGCAGCTGTCAACTGTGTTCGTACTTTGACGACTTCGACTGGCTTCCATGTGAGGTAGTTTCTTGTGTTCTACTTTTTCTGACTTGAGTTCTCGATATACAGAAGTTGCTGTTTATGTTTTTTTTTCTTTCATATCTTGTCTTGTAGGAGTGTCCTGTCCATGATACAAACTTGCAATCTTTGAGTTACCAGCGCACTGTCTTGTCCACTGTACCACAAGTGTCTTCACACAAATGAAAGGATTTAAGTCCTACTTATAGGATCAATGTTTTCACTAGCATTCAAAAATCGTACTGGATTCGAACCAGCGATCTCTTACATTGCCTATGTTGTACATATCCACTGAACCATATGGGTAGTCATGCAAATGAATTTGTTTTCATATTTAGCTTTATTGCAAATTAGTGTTTGCGAAAAATGACTGGCAGGCATAGGAATTGAACCCAGGTCCTCCTGATCACTGTGTAGACAACTGAACCACAAGACCACAATTGATTGACTGGATGTGTTTGCATTTGATAAGAATATATAGTGTGTATATATATAGAAATAAATACAACATATTTCTATTATTGAGTTACAATTGTCCAAAAAATTGCCAATTTTGTGTTTTTACTTGTGTAAACTATATGCATGCCATAACCCATTAGTGT